CAGCTACACAGATTTCGTTTGAGTGTTTTAGAATGAAAACATTTTCCCATAGAATATAAATAAGGAATAAATTACTGTATAAATATTTCCTTTTAAATTTATCCTATATAGAATACAGCAATAACTATTTCATTGATTTAATTTATTTTATTATTGTTTTATCTGAAACTATCTGTCACCACACTTCTTTGCTTCTCTAAGTAGCAAAACCACTTCAAAGTTATCTCTAGTTCAGGTCATAACCTTTAATTTTCCTCTCTCCATCCTCTCTTCTTGAACTCTTTATTATAAAATAATTACAAATTTATAGAAAACTTTTAAAATATAACAAAGAGCATTCACCTTTACTCAAGCTCACCAGTTATTATAGCCACCTTACAACTGTATAATTTTTCATAATCACTTGAAAATTAATTGATTACATCAAACCACTTTTTTTCTCTTTTGGGGTCACACCCTGCAATGCCAGGGGTTATTCCTCACTCTGCACTCAGAAATTACTCCATGGCCGTGCTTGGGGGACCATATGAGATGCTGGGAATTGAACCCAGGTCCACCATATACAAGGCAAACGCCCTACCCACTGTGCTATCGCTCCAGCCCCAAAACCACTTTTTTAATATTTCAGCACATACTTACTAAGAATGGGGCTGGAACGATAGCACAGCAGGTAGGGCATTTGCCTTGTATGCAACCGACACCACCGACCCAAATTTAATTCCTCCACCCCACTCAGATTGCCCGGCAAGCTACGGAGAGTATCTCACCCACACGGCAAAGCCTTGCAAACTACCCGTGACATATTCTATATGCCAAACACAGTAACAAGTCTCACAATGTTACTGGGCCGGCTCGAGCAAATCAGTGAACAACGGGAGGACAGTGACAATGACAGTGACTTCCTAAGAATAAAGACATACTTTTGTTTAAACTCAGTTCAGTTCTCAAAGTCAAGAATTTTATAAACATATTCAATTATCTTTTTTGTTTTACCTCTGATTTCCTCATTGACCCAGTATGTATTCAATCACTTAATCGCTTAATCACTTAACTTCCCGTTAGTCGTCGATTTGCTCGAGCGGGCGCCAGTAACGTCTCCATTTGTCTCTGTCGCATGCTAGTGTAGCCCAATGGCATCTGTTCGCTCTGGGAACATGAAGAGCCTCAAACCGATCGTTCATGATCTTGAGGAAGAAGTCTGACCATCTGGTAGGTGGGCGGCTACACGGTCTTTTGACATCCCGTGGAATCCAGTCAGCAACAGCTCTAGTCCAGCGGTCGTCTTTAAATCTCATTACGTGACCAGCCCATCTGATTTTTGACACCTTGGCAAATGAGACAGCATCCTTGATTCTTGATCGTCGACGGATGTTGGAACTCCGGATTCTTTCTCTCATTTGAGTGAAACGTGATATTCCAAGCATAGCTCTTTCTATTCTTCTTTGGGAGACCTGAATAGCGTTCTCATCCTGTTTGCGTAGGGCCCAGGTCTCTGAGGCATATGTTAATGCAGGAAGAATAGTGGAATCAAAGAGATGTACCTGGAGCTGGAGGTTCTTTGTTCTCTTAGCTATTTCTTCGACATTCTTGAAGGCGTTCCAAGCTGCTCTCTTCCTCCTGCGCAGCTCCGGTGCCAGGTCATTTGTCATGTTGACTTCTCGACCTAGGTACACATAGCTGTTGCATTCGGAGATGGTCGTTCCGTTGAGAGCAAATGGGGCATCAGGAACAAAGCTGTTTCTCATAAACATTGTCTTCGTAAGATTCAGCTGTAGTCCTACCTTTCCACACTCACGGTCAAAGTCGGCCAGCATTTGTGCCGCTTGGCTGATGTTTGGTGTTATTAAAACAATGTCATCAGCAAAGCGAAGGTTGTGTAGTTGCCGAACATCTATCTTCACTCCCATTCCTTCCCATTCCAGTCGTCGCATGATGTTCTCGAGGGTGGCACTGAAGAGTTTCGGTGAAATGGTATCACCCTGCCGAACTCCTCTCTTGACATCAACGATCACTTCTTTGTAGAATGGTGAGACCAGTAACTACAACTGGTCTCATGTATTCAATACCATCTCTTTTTTCCACAAAACTGCGGTTTCCCCCAACTCATCTCTTTTGATTGATTTTCACATTTATACAGTTAATAAAAGAAAGGATAGGGGTTGGAATAATAGAATAGTTGTTAGGGCATTTGCCTTGCACACCACCAACCTGGGTTCAATCCCAAGCATCCTATATAATTTTCCAAGCCCCGCCAGTAGTAATTTCTGAGTGCGGAGCCAGGAGTAACCCCTGAGCACCACTGGGTGTGGCCCTAAAAGAAAACAAAAAGGATATTTGACATTATTTTAATCTTTATAAGTCTATTGAAACACATTTAGTGTCCCAATGTATGACTTGTTATTGAAAGTGTTTTATGGACACTAGAAAAAGATATTCTGTTGGTTAGGGTTGGGATTCTCTATGAATACCTATGAAGTCCATTTTACCTGATTTTTCATTTAAGACCTTTGTTTCCTTGATCTTCTGTTGAAATAATTTGCTGTAAATGGAGAGAACTAAAGTTCCTTACTGTTTTTATATTGTCATCAATGTCTTCCCTTAGATCTATTAAAGTCTGTTTTATGTATTTTGGTATTGCTATGTTGGTAGCAACTATCAGCTGTGGGGTCTTCCTGTCTTTTCTCTAGTTAATAGTTTTTCTTGTATGGTCTATTTTGTTGTTGTTTTGGGTGGTTTTTTTTTGTTGTTGTTGTTATTGGTTTGGCAATTTGACCACACGCAGAAGTGCTCAGGTTTATTACTGGCTCTGACCTTAGGAATCTCGTGGAAAGTCAGAGGGCCATAATGGAGTGCTGAGGATTGAACTCAACCCAAGTTTGCCATGTGCAAGGCAAATATCCTACCTACTGTACTATCTCTCCAGCCTCAAAACTAAAAAGTATTTTTAAATAATAAAATGAACCTCTTTATCTTGTGACTTTATTTGGTAAACTGCTAGAAATGAGTATGAACTTATCCATGACATATATATAATATATATATCTTCCTTTACATATATCAAGATATATATCTTCCTTAATACCAAGTGTGTTCCTGATTGCCAAACATCAGTTGTACTTCACTTCATACATTGTTTTGTTTGCCTTTCTGTCCATGAAACTTAGGTTCATAAAGGGGTGTAGCAAAGGGGTCATTTGAGGGGCTGGTGCGATAGCACAGCGGGGATGGCGTTTGCCTTGTATGCTACCAATCCGGGTTCGATTCCCAGCATCCCATATGGTCCCCCAACCACTGCCAGGAGTGATTCCTGAGTGCAGAGCCAGGAGTAACCCTGAGCATCGCCGGGTGTGACCCAAAATGCAAAAAATAAATAAATAAATTTTTAAAAGGAGGGGTCATTTGAATGATGTAAAATAAAATTAGAGATTTTTAGTAATTTCTATTTAATTAAGGAGCTGTGATTTATAAAGCTATTAATAGTTGGGTTTTAGGCATATAATATTTCAACATCAACCCCACCACCATTGTCAACTTCCTTCCCCCAGTGTTCCCATCTCCATCCTCCGCCCCACCTGCCACCTTGACAGGTCCATTACAAAGTTTGGTGGTTGCAGCTTAAGTCTCTTATTTTCAGTGTAAAGTTTCTGTGGTAAGTTTAATGCTCTATATACACATGTTCATGTTGAATGATGCACATATATAACTTACCTCCTTTTACAATGCAGAGTTCACATAGTAAAAAAGAAGAAGAATGATATACTTGAATAATTTTAATTGGGTGACATTTTGTAAGAGCAGTAGATTTTGCTGTCCTGAGATAAGCCCTTGCAACTATATTAGAACTTATGTAATATATTTGTTTTGGTCACTGCCTGCCACAGAGGAGTGCCTAGGAGGTCCTTGTTCTTTATTCTCTCTACTCCTAGAATCTGCTATAATTTTGAATTCCACAGAAGAAAAGAGTTGGGAAGAGACATGAAAGAAAACTGATTTCTCTATATGAACTATATGCTTTCCTACCAGATTATTCCATTGATTTCAGATCCATAATTGGCTTTTCCAGGTCCCTACTGCTACACTTATGTAGCACTAATGTGAATTATAAAATTTCAGATGAGATGTGAGACATATTGATTGATGTTCAATTAATTTGCCTAAAGTGCTTCTGACAATATTGATAGGTTGTGAAAATAACATGTGACTTGAATATTAAAATATTGACAGGATTAGATGTTATGGCTACTAATAAGAAATAATACACTCCATCAGAAAGTAATCAACCTCTCTGCTTCTTGTCAGGAAATTGAATCTACATCGTTTTTGTGCTGGAAACATTGATTCCTTTTGCCATTGAGACATTAGGAAACAATTTTCTCATATCTAAGATAATATAGTCTCAACTCTTCTAATTTAATTGAAATATCTAATCAGTGTAAAGAGAATATATGATGAGAACAAGAGCTAAATTTTGATGCCTTGGTTTCAATATAAAAGAAAATAGCATTTCTTTCAAATGAATGTTAATGTTAATTTCACTTACTACGCTAAGAATACCAATATCATTAATAAGAAAGTGAAGTTTTTTATTTTATATTTCATGTCTTCCAAAATTATATCCAAAAATATCTCAACATTTTAATGAACACAGTCTATAAGAAATAATATTTTTGTGCTAGACTTTCAAGTTGAGAGTTAATTAGACAGTACTTAAGACAGCATTGATAATATTAAATTTCCCTCCGTTCTAATGCACAGTGTTTTTACATAAAAGGATAAAATGGGCTTTAAAAATATATAACTTACAAAATTAATTGTTTTGGATTTGCTTGGTGGGGCATGGCTTGAGATTTGAGGTGGAAGCATTTAAAATATGGTTGTGGAAAGGCACAATGGTGGTGGTATTGGTGTTTGAATATTAAATGTAATAAATTATTATGAAGAACTTTATAAAAATGAAATTCAAATAAAAATATCTAACTTCTGAATTGATTATTTTCCAGATACAACACACTCAGGAGAAATTGGCACCAAGAAAAAGGTGAAAAGACTATTAAGCTTTCAAAGATACTTCCATGCCTCAAGACTCCTCCGTGGAATTGTCCCACAAGCACCTCTCCACTTGCTGGATGAGGACTACCTTGGACAAGCAAGGGTAAGTTAATTATCCCCCCATAACCTCACAGCAAGCCAGTGGCCAAGAGTACCTGTCTCTGCTGAGAGCACCCAAGTTTGAGTCGTACTCCTGTAACTAAAACTCTGTGATTCTACATAGTTATTTAGCAGATCTTAACTTTCTCCTCAGATACAAAATTAAGGAACACCCACCTCACAGAAATAATCCGAAATGATGCAAAGCACGTTTACAGGCTTAATATATTTATGCCTTACTCATGCTACCTATTATCATTGTTTTCAATGTATAAAGTTTATTTACATAATAAATATTTAGAGAATTTGAACTGGTAGATTAATAATTAGGTAGAACAAAATAAACCTTTGAATTTTCAATGGGTTATTACTTCACTGAAATTATAACCCAATAATTACCCATCTGAATTCCACTTGGGCTGTTAACATGACACGTTGCCTTTTATAATTTTTAATTTATTTAAACAATTTCTATTTGTTTTAGACTTATTTTTACAAAGCACATTACAGTAAAATTTAATATACAATTGTATTTTTAAAAAACCTGCCTTTTACTTCTATTCCAAACTGTCAAAGGGATTTAAATTCGGGGAATAAATTATATTAGTTTGAATGGAACTTAAAGACAATATCTTAATGTTCATGATAAGTAACATTATGCTATGTACTATTAAGAAACATGTGCTATTAAGATCATAAGTTGCTCCTACCCTCCCTCCCTTTCATTAGCTTTGGGACCACTCCAGGCAGGACTCTGCTTACTCTTTGTTTACTTCTGGCAATGTTTATGGTGGTGCTCAGGGATGACATGTGGTGCCAGGGATTTGAACCAAGATCAGATGCATATCTTGCATAAGCACCTAAACCCCTGTACTATTTCTGTGGCACTGCATCTACTTTCAAGTGTAGTTTATAGTGACTTTAAATATCTCAAGTATAATTTATAGAGACTACGGAGTACAATTTTAACAGATACCTAACATGTATGTTTACTAGCTACAAACCCTATCTAAGCACCTTATTAAATCTTTGTAATACCCCTGTGAGATAATAATATTTTTAGCCACATTTTTAAAATTAGGAACTGGGGTTCAAAACAGTTAAGAAACTTGCTCAAGTTTCCACAGCTATGAGCCAGAGACATAATACAGGGGTTAAGTACACTTGCTTGTACACAGCAGACCCTGGTTTAATCCCCACCACCATATAACCCCAAGCACCACCAAGAATTGCCACTGAGACTAGAGCCAGGAGTAAGCCCTGAGCACTTCCAGATGTGGCCCAAAGACAAAAAAAATTTTTTAATCTCATAGCCAATAAGAGATGAGACTGACATGGAACCTGGCAGCCTGGTTTCAGGGCCTATCCCTTTTATTCTGTTAATTAGCAATAGAAAAAGATTTATCACAAACCAGTTGTACTAGACAGTACAGCTATAGGCATTAGTATGCTACTATTTTCAAATTCTTAATTGTTTAATCCATATGTATAAAGTAAATATCTGAGTCTCTTACATGGTTTATTGTGCTGGTTTTTATTTTTTGCCTTTTCAGCATATGCTCTCCAAAGTGGGAATGTGGGATTTTGACATTTTCTTGTTTGATCGCTTGACAAATGGTAAGTCATTCAGAAGAATTCTCACTAGAACATACCCCAAAAGTAGAATTAATTTTATGAAAACAATCTTATTTTTAAAAAGTTATTATTTTTTCCTTTTCCCCCATTCTTCCTCTCAAGACGGACCAGGACAAAAGAAAACTAATTAAGAGTAAGAATAAGGATTACATTGGCCTTTAGTGTCTTACAATAGCTTTTCTTCTGGTCTTAATGATTCCAAAGGAATTTGAAAACCACAGATCAGATTCTTTCCTTAGAGACACATTGGACACATCCAAAAAGAAGGAGGTCATTATTAGTCAATGAAAACTAAAAGTGCAAAAGAGCATCCAATCAGTAATGACTCTCATGGGCTTACGCACTGCCACTAGGTGAGCCCAATCTCCCCATCCTAGGTAAAAGTCATATATGTTTGATGTCAGCCAAAGGAAATCATTGCTGATAAAGTGTAAAAATGCAGGAGAAAGAAAACATTCCCAAGCTTTTCTTGTTTCGAATTTTTGTGCTTATAAAGATTTCTTCAATAAAATAACAAAATCCTATTTATATTTTCACCTGTATGTTAAAATGCGCCCCTCTTGGAGAACCCGGCAAGCTACCGAGAGTATCTCACCAGCACAGCAAAGCCTGGCCAGCTACAGGTGATGTATTCAATATGCCAAACACAGTAACAACAAGTTTCACAATGAAGACGTTACTGGGCCCACTCAAGCAAATCAACGAACAATGGGAGGACCATGACCATGACCATGATGTTAAAATGCTGATTAGCTTCAGAAGCCAATGGAAGATAACACATTTAATGCTGACTGTCATACATCCCATCATCGGCACTGTCCTCCTGTTGTTCGTCGATTTGCTCAAGCGGGCCCAGTAACATTTCCATTATGAGACTTGTTGTTACTGTGTTTGGCATATCGAATACATCACGGGCAGTTTGCTGTGCAGGCGAGATGCTCTCGGTAGCTTGTCAGGCTCTCTGAGAGGGGCAGAGGAATCAAACCCGGGTCGACCGGGTCAGCCGCATGCCAGGCAAATGCCCTACCACCGTGCTATCGCTCCAGCCCCCACTGTGCTATTGTCAGACAGACTGGTATTTTGAAATCACAGAAGACAGTTTTCTCCCTATTTTATTACTTAACAAGTCAACATACAGCTGAAAAGATACCATATAATGTGATAAGACTGTGCTTTACATTGTAAAAATATAAAATCTAAAATTAATTAGATTGTGTAACAATGGCCCTCATAATCGTATGCTTAATTTTGCTCAAATCAACTAAAAAATGGGTACCAGGAAATGAAATTAACTGTGAACAAAAAGACTTAATGGTATTTGGTTTTGAATTGCATAATCATGACCCCCAGAAAAGCATGAATCTACAAGTCAAAGATTGTATTTAACTTAGTAATTAGAGATCCAGTAAGATACCATAGCTAGTTGGAAGGGAATTCAGAGAAACACATACACACAGACATAATCTTACATACCCAATAAGAACAGATGAGGATGCTGGAGTGGTAGTACAGTGGGAAGGGCATTTACCTTGCACGCAGCCGACCAAGGTTCAATCCTGGGCATCCCATATGGTCCCCTGAGCATCACCAGAAGTAATTCTTGAGTGCAGAACCAGGAGTAACCCCTAAGCATTGCCAGGTGTGACCCAAAAAGCCAAAAAATAAAAATAAAAAAGAGGGAAAAAATGTTTAAAAAAACCTAATTAAACAAATTTATAAAGAGGATAAATCACATTAGAAAATTTTCAAGACAGATACCTTAGATTTTATTGTCAATATTAATGTTCATGGTAATTAAAATGAATGAAAACAAGTGACTATTTTTCCATAGGTAACAGCCTGGTCACACTGCTTTGTCATCTCTTTAATACCCATGGACTCATTCACCATTTCAAGTTAGATATGGTGACCTTGCACAGGTTTTTGGGTAAGTATTTTTACATATTCTTAACCCCAATCCCACAAATAATGGCAGACCAAAACACTCTTTAATACAATGTGGCAAAAGGGTCTGTAGTGACAGTACAGCAGGGTAGGCTGCTTGCCTTGCACACAGCCAACGTGGGTTTGAGTCCTAGCACCCCATAGAGTCCCCTGAGCACCACCAGAAGTAATTCCTGAATACAGAACCAGGAGAAATCCCTGAGCATCACCATCCAAAAACAAACAAACAAACAAACTATATATATATATATATGTGTGTGTGTGTGTGTGTGTGTGTGTGTACATATATAATGTGGCAAGAACCATTGTATTCATATAGCATATGAAGACCTAAAGTTAATTATAAATTACTCATCTTAGATTTTTCTTGTTTTCATTAAGGACATTTTTGGGGCCACACTTGGCAGAGCTCAGGGGAACTATGTGGCACACTTGGAGCCTGCATTGTTAAAAATATCCCATAGTCTTTTACTTTTTTATTGATAAAAGCAATCATGTATGCAATGTACCCTCTCTGCTAGGTACTTTAGGTCTTATCTCTAGTCATGAAAGATGGGCATTGCTATTACCAATTGTCCTACAGTTATAGAACAGTACTCAGAGGTTTCATAACTTGCTTGAGATCAACTATTAAAATTTATAAAAACTCAGTTCATTTCTGTCTAACTTAATAAGGGCCGTTCAACTTGAAACCCTGACATTCTTTTACTCTGCTCACCACTCTAAACTCACTCTAAGATGAATTTTTGTATTTATCAGCCAGTTAGCCATGGTACATTTTATTTTTTATTTTTGTAGCTGTTGTTTTCATTTGGGGGGGGGGGGGCTGCACCCAGTAATGCTCAGAGTTTACTGCTGGTCCTGTGCTCAAGGATCACTCCTGGTGAGGCTCAGTTTACCATATGCGGTGCTGGAGATGGAACCCGGGTTGGTGGCATGCAAGACAAGCACCTAACCTCTGTGCTATCACTCTGGCCTTGCCATGGCACATTTTAACCCCCAAATAACTTTCCTCTGCTCTAAGCATGTTTTTGGCTTCTTTTACTAGCCTCGTGGTTGTGCTCTGACTCTGAAGTTGTCAAGAGTTAAATATTGGTGACAATAATAATAATAGTTTTATACGATACTAACATAAATTTTTTTTCATATAAAAAAGTTTTATATGAAAGTTTTTTTAAGATCAATTGTAGAAATCAATTGTAAGATCTAACTCTTTAAGGTTGTTTTTTGGGGGGTTTGGTTTTTTTTGGGGGGGAGGAGGAAGCCACACACAGCAGTGCTCAGGACTTTCTTCTGCCTCTACAGTCAGAAATTACTCCTGACAATGCTCGGGGTACAATATGGGATGTCGGGGATGGAACCCAGGTTGGCCGTGTGCAAGGCAAGCATTCTACCTGGTGAACTCTTGCTTTAACCCAATATAACCTTTGAAATTGGAATTCATATTTTCAATTTTATTGAGAAGATAACTGAGAAATCTTGGAGTTCAATTATTTGACAAAACAAATCATAAGTGATAGAGCCAGAGTTTAAATATAACTGAAAATAAGGCTACTGAATTAAAAGTGCTGATGAAACAAGATAAATATTTTAAAGTAATCAGATTATGGTTTTTTCCAGAAGCATATTCTTTTCTTTGTTTTTATTTTGGGGCCACACAGCAGTGCTCAGGGGTTACTCCTGGCAGTGTTCTTGGGACCCTATCGAATGTCAGAGATGGAACCCCGGTTGGCCGGGTATCAGGCAAGCATCCTACCTGATATACTATCAGCTCCAGAAGCACAAATTCCTAAGAGATGCAATAGTTATAGAGGCAAATAATTCTTATTATCTACTGAATGAAAAAAGGCTATCTTGGATATGTATATGCATCCCAAAGTACATGTAAACAATACATCTTTTGTGTATGGTATCTGGGATTGAACCTAGTTCTCATGCATGTAATCCATATACCTTTAAAATTTAGATAAGTCCCCAGCCCAACAGGACTGTGACAATTTGATGTAGAAATATCATCAAAATCTATAATCAGATTCATAACATGGACTGAGAGAATACGGTCACTGTTTCAAATCTGGACATTCTACAAATCCTAATGCATTATATCCTAAGTACTACTGAGGTCATTAGTTGAAGAAAACTAGTGGCTTCCCTTAATAGCAAAACAAAATTGCTTCTGTTTAAGTTTCTACTTTATTTCAAGAGCTCTCTGGTCCTTAGACTGAGAGGGCATGAAAGATGATAACTTAATGTGAGCATGAAAACAGTAAAACTAAGGAGACCCCAGTCAGATCAATGTAACACTTTGAATTTCTGTGAAGAAGTCCAAGATTTGCTTTGGTCAGTATTTGTTATTCATGTGATAAACCAATCTTTGACTCTTAGGAGTCTGATGCTACCAGAGCTTTTTCAAAGGAAGTCTCTTTTATGGCATATTATTCATAGATGGCAGCAAACTTAAATAATTAAACTATGGTGTGAAATAAAGTTGTCCTTTTCCTACATATTTATTTTTCTTATGAATGAGAGCTTTCATAGATGCCAGAAAGGGGTGATTTATAAAGGTGGTGTGAGATCCCAAGGGCCTCACAAATCCTTTTGGCCTTTCTCCCCTCTGCCTTCCCTCATCTCTCCACTGAAAACGGTCCAGTAGAACTGCCAAGCTTGCAAACCATGTTCATTTTTAAAGGATCCCCAGGCTGCACAATTTGGAGACATTAAAATATTTAAGCAAAAGAGACTCTCAGTAAGACTGAGAGTCAACAAGACTCTCAATACCCTTCCTATTCTGGTTTTAGCTTATCACGTTATGTCTTTGTCTCCTAGTCATGGTTCAAGAAGATTACCACAGCCAAAACCCGTATCATAATGCTGTTCATGCTGCCGATGTCACCCAGGCCATGCACTGCTACCTGAAGGAGCCAAAGGTAAGCCAAAAGCCCAGCTATAAGTTCAGCCTCCTAGAAATGCCCAGGAAGCTGTGTGCTAGATCCCAAATCAACCAACATATCAGAGTGACTATGTTATGGTTCATTTGTAATATGAATACAATTGTTTATATTAAAGTTCCAGTATCAGCTTTGAAAATGTCATACAACACTCATTAAAGAGAATAGATATTTGCTGAGGTTCTCTTTCACATTTTGTTTATTTTTAAGGCTACATGACACCAAAAATAACCCCTCTCGAAAACTATCTGTATCAGATATCTTCGACAGCTCTATTTGTCTTGGACCTTCGCCATAAACCATACCAGTCTGAATTTTTCTGGGAAAGCCTCTTACCTCATGATTTTTTATTAACAAATAGAGTCAGAACTCCTAAAGATTCAAGCTCAAGTTTTGTTTTGATTTTTCCTTTTTTTTCTTTTGGTCAGTGCTATGGATTGAACCTAGGGATACTATGTATATGAACTATGAGTTCTACCACTGAGCCAACTCTCTCCCTTCAAGTTTCAGTTCTTATGTAAAAAGTAAATCAGCCCCCACCACAAAAAAAAAAAAGAAAACCATGTGAACATCAAAGTCCTCTGCTATAATAAACCAATTCAAACTTATAATTGTAGCAATGCTTATTACTGAAAATTTGCTAGACATATCAAACTCAGGAAAACATACAGGATGAATTTTCATAAGGTTTTCAGAAAATGATACCCCAACCAAAAATCTGTTAGTTCAAGAAGTTTTAATATTTGCCACTAAATATATTCTAGTGCCAAACATACATTTTTAAGTGTGCAATACCTATAAAATATTCCAAAAGCATCAAAGGTTTTGAGGGGCTGGAGTGATAGCACAGTGGGTAGGGTGTTTGCCTTGCACACGGCCAACCCGGGTTCAATTCCCAGCATCCCATATGGTCCCCCGAGCACCACTAGGAGTAATTCCTGAGTGCAAAAGCCAGGAGTAACCCCTGTGCAAAGCCGGGCATGACTCAAAAAGCAAAAAAATAAAAATAAATAAAGGTTTTGAAAGTTGTAATATACCACACATTCGTGTATTTTAAATTATTAATGAATTCCAATTTTTCTGCTTTTTCCCTAACTGAACAAAATACGTGAACTCATCTATTTCTATGATTTATTGAACACTGAAGAAATAGGCAAATTTTACAGTCCAGTGCACTCTTAATGTTATGTTCAAAGTACAATGAATACTAAGTCTACAGTAATTTTTTTTAATGTCATCACTTTGGCCTCAACTTTTCCCTTCACTTATAACTTTCTATAGGAGCCAGGCTGATGTCAGACTCTGGCTTCTCTCCACGCACTGTAGAGCAGTATTGTCAATAGGCACCAATACTACAATGACAAAACAAAACAGAGTGGCAGTAGGAAGAGGAGGCCACTGGAATGATGAAACCATTTAAGTTGCTTAATAACTTTCCACACCATACTTTCTTTTTCCTTAGAATTGCATGCAACTATAACCTCATTGATTGCTTCAGAGAGTAAAGGTCTGAATGAAAGTCCTGAGCAAGACCATGATGATTCATTCAGTTAAGCTCAGCCAAAACAAATGCTAACCAATTTGTTTTTTTAACAGCTTGCCAGCTTCCTCACACCTTTGGACATCATGCTGGGACTGTTGGCTGCAGCAGCACATGATGTTGACCACCCAGGGGTGAACCAGCCATTTTTGATCAAAACTAACCACCACCTGGCCAGCCTCTATCAGGTAAGGGAGTCAACGTAGAGCAAATGGGATACAGGATGGCCAGTTGTCTCAAGGCTAAAGCTAGTGCTTGCATTTCACTCTGGGTTATAGCTTTCCTTGGGAGCCAACTTCCCTGTGTCTATGGTGTAAGAGAAATAGCTCAATCAGCTGTAACCAGGGACTGGAGCAATAGCACAGTGGGTAGGGCGTTTGCCTTGCATGTGGCCAACCAGGATTCGATTCTCAACATCCCATATGGTCGCCTGAGAACTGCCAGGAGTGATTCCTGAGTGCAGAGCCAGGAGTAACCCCTGTGCATCGCCAGGTGTGACCCAAAAAGCAAAAAAAAAAAAAAAAAAAATAAGCTGTAACCATTGCTTTCTGTGTGATATCTTTCTCTTTATTCATTCACTAACTAGACAATTGAGGGTTCAGACTCCTTAGGCATAATTTACAGGGGGGAAATGACACTGCTAGTTGTAGAAAGGCAGAAAATCTAATACTTCTTAATTAAGTATTTGTTGCAGACACAGCAATATTTGTTGCTGAGGTTCGGATGATTCCAACTAAACATGCATCAATTTATCTTGTGAGAAATCATAAAATAATCATCAGAAGATGTTATCTTAGCATACAAATTTGAGAACTCAGAGAGTGAATGAGTTCATACAGTGTAAATGATCAAAATCAACTATCTTTCTTTTTGTTTGGGGCCATCCCTAGGTTATTCCTATCTCCCAGTAGTGATAGGGTTTTCCCTAATGGTGCTCAGGGGACTTTATAGTACTGGAGATTGAACCTAGGCATCCTACATGCAAAGCATATGTTATGGTGCAAAAGAAATCCAGGATGTCTCCAAAGGAGACTAAATTGGTTTACAAGGGTATCCAAAGAATTCAATTTGCTCCAAAACAGATTTTGAAATTCTATGAAGTCAAACAGGATTCTAAAATCTACCCTCTTTATAGTTGGAGAATCTCTGATTCCTTCAAAACCATCTTGCAAGTAATGGCCAGTTAGGTCATTCTATAAATTATATTTTCTAGATGATAATCCTAATTTCAATTTCAATTAATGTAGTCATTAATGAACTTTATTGGTCTCTAAATGAGATGCAAATTATACAAAAAAGTAGGTACATTTTGTCATTTTTTAAAAAGTTCAGTGGTCAGGCAGGATAAATAAAGCAGGTCTTTATGCACATGCCTTACAAGCTGCCACCCCAGTTCAATCTCTGGCACCACATGACCTGAGCATCACCCCCTCGAGAGCTCCAGTATCATTTCGGTGTCCTTAGTTTTCTGTAACACATCTGAATCCAAGTATCACTATATCCTGGGACCTCATATTGAACTCCAGCCCAGTTACCCAAGAATCACCAGGAAGGTTCTGGAGCCTCCTGACCACTGCCCAGAAGGCCCCCACATCCCCCCCCCCAAAAAAAAAAACAAAGAAAAGTTCAGTAGCATGAATAGACTGATTTTCACACAGAAAAGAATTATTTGTGAAATTGCTTAGGGCTGGAGCAATAGCACAGCAGGTAGAGTGTTTCCCTTGCATGCCTTGCAGACCTGGGTTTGATTCCATCACCCCTCTCAGAGATCCCAGCAAGCTACAGAGAGTTTCTCGCCCGCACAGCAAAGCCTGGCAAGCTACCCATGATGTATTCGATATACCAAACACAGTAACAATAAATCTTACAATGGAAACATTACCAGGCCTGCTCAAGCAAATCGATGAACAACGGGAGGACAGTGCTACTATGCTACAGACATTGCTTAAGATATTAACCGTTGTGTCATAAAAGAATTAGTCTAAAAAAATAGTGTTAGAATTTTCAATATGGTTCTTTGATGATTTTTAATTGGCATGAAAATCATTGAATACAAGGGAATCATTGATCTCAATTTTACCTGCCATTTTGAGAAAATCCAGTCTGAAAGCATTTCTGAAAGAACCCTAAAAAATATCTGAATTATTTATACAAGATGCTAAACCTTGAAGGTGCATTTATTTCTAGTAAAAAACAACTAGAATATTTAAAAGTCTTTCTCTATCCAATTCACTAGCTTAGGGCTAGTGCGATAGCACAGCAGTAGGGCGTTTGCCTTGAGCGCAGCCAGCCCAGCCAAGCCGGGTTCGATTCTTCCGTCCCTCTTGGAGAGCCCGACAAGCTACAGAGAGTATCTCACCCGCACAGCAAAGCCTAGCAAGCTACCCGTGACATATTAAATATGCCTAACACAGTAACAACAAGTCTCAAAATGGAGACGTTATTGGGCCCACTCGAGCAAATCAATGAACAACGGGAGGACAGACAGACAGATTCACTAGCTTTAGGAATATATATTGCAAGATTTTTGATCTATCTAGTAGGAACTTTAGCTCTTGACTCTCCATAAGTGGAGTAAAAACAGCTTTAAATTATGAGCTAAAAATAAAACATGTAAAAAAACAAAAATAAATTTTCTAAACCATCTCAGAAGGTCAATTTATGTCTAGAGAAAACTATAAACATTTTAATGGGACTGGAAGGACTAAAGCCCCAGACATATTTTTTTAATTTTCATCTATTATTATTTTTTTTCATTTTTTAAAAATTTTTATTAGTGAAACACCATGAGGTACAGTTGTAGACTTACAAATTTTTGTGCTTGGATTTCAATTATACAATGATCAAATACCCATCCCTCCACCACAACACCCAAAAGGAGAGAGAGAACAAAAGGGAATGCCCTGCCACAGAGGCAGGGTGAGATGGAGGGATGGGGAGTGGGAAGGATACTGGGACTCTTATTTTTTTCAAATATGAAAAGGAAAGAAAGAAAATAGATCAATAGGATTAATGATGGGGTCAGAAATTCAAATCACTCAATAGGATTAATCACATGGCACCAGCTCAGTGTGCTTATACTCCAGAACTTATACCTGGCATGGGTAAAGGTAAAAGGTAAAGGCCCTCCCGTTGATCGTCGATTTGCTCGAGCAGGCCCAGTAACGTCTCCATTGGAGACTTTGTTGTTACTGTGTCTGGCATATCGAATACTCTCGGTAGCTTGCCGGGCTCTCCGAGAGGGGCAGAGGAATCGAACTCAAGTCGGCCATGTTGGCCGCTTGTAAGGCGAACGCCCTACCCACTGTGCTATCGCTCCAGCCCTGGCATGGGTGGGACCCTAAATTTTATTCTGAGCACTTCAAAAACATTTTTTATGTAACTGTTTACATAATTTTAATTTCTCACAATAAAATAAATAAGACCTATTCACAAAGCTAAAAAGTTACTAATAGTACTGACTGATATGTAATAAAAATGAGAGCCATAATAGTTTGACATACAGAATACAAAATACAATATAAATTCTCATTTAGACAAGAAGATAAAAATGTGCCAGATGTTAAAGACATAAAAATAAGAAAGTAAGTATAGAATTTCATTTAATGATGAAGAATTAAGTACTCACTGCTAATTACTAAAGTTTTTACTCAAAAGAAAATAATGAGTTGCTCAAATTTCTGAAGTGAAGACAATTTTAATAATACTTATTCCTTTGTAAGACATAAACCCCAAGTTCTCAAGTTCTCCAGATTTTTCAAACAATATACTGTCTTGTGTATTTTTTTTCTTTTTTAGTATTATGTATTTTTAATTAGCAACTACTTATAGAATATGATATAAAATGAAGCACTTATGGGATCTAAAGCTACAAAGGTAAATAAAATATAATCTCTGCCTCAAAATTTTCAAATTTACATTCTTAAAATGTACAGGGCCAAAGATACGCCTCAGTGTCAATATAAACGTGTTTTATCAATCATGAAACCTGTGTTCAATCCCAGACCCTAAGAAAAGACAAAAATAAAAGCAGATAATTAAAATGTGTAACATTTAAACTAAGTTAATCCTAGCTTGAAAGAAGTTTAAGGGAATTAAATATAGGTGATCTAATTTTTAAGTCTTTGAGAACTAATACTTAATTCTATTCTTTGTCATCAGAGATGCAACTTTAAAATGACTTTTTTGTTTTCCTAGCAATGAATTTTTCCAGATCTGAATTTATCTATCTTCAGATAGGCAGAATCCCTCATAGGGAGGAGAAAAAAAAACTTTATTAATGACTAAAAGGAAGTTGGGCTCAATGACCATTCTCAATATGCTATCTCCAGCAGTTCTCAGATCAAGTATTATTGAAAATGAACATACATGTTCTTAAGTTTTAAGAAGAGTGTTAAAGACAAACCAATATCACATAATAAAATAAAGATAGTACCAATGCTCTGAGAAGGGTAGGATAAAAGCTGAAAATTTTATCAACCCAGGGGAGAATAAGACAAATTGTTTAGAAGAACTAAAAATATTATGAAATTTTAATTTGTCCCCCAAAGTGTATATTTTATACTTGATTACATGCCCTTACTTATTAAATACCTATAGAAACTCTCAAGATATCAAGAAAATTATCTGTAAAATACAAATCAACAGTTATGGATAATCCTTAATACCATGACACAAGGCTGTGCTAAATGTATTTGTTGTGTGTTATTAATATTCATAGTAGCCAAGTTCAGTTAGTACTTTTACCATACTTTTCTCCATAAAGATGATAGTTAGGAAACTGAAGTTCTTTCTGAAAAACAAGGTAAATTAATAGCAGAGCTAGAATAAATAAACCCACAGGTCCAAAATAGCTGAAAATGGACAGTACCAGTGGCCAATAGCCGAGCAAGATGCTGCTATGCATAGCCCCCATGCTCAGACCAATGTCTTGGGCATATTATGATGATGATATCAGGTCTCTTTTGTAGGAACTATGGAGTAGCTATGTAGGACATGATCTGGATTAGAAAATGTCTACTCTGCATCAAGTTATACATGAAGAATTGGCATACTCTTAAACTTCAAAAGGACAAAAATCAGCATATTTAATATATAATAATATGTAATATTAATATATATTCATATATAATAGAGAAACTGAGAAAGACCATTAACAACACAAAATATTTTGAAATATCTTTTGAAG